GTAAGCATCAGTAACGCAGCGATAACGCAGACACACACAAAGTGAAAACTCTTGGCCCTTACGAGAGCTGATTTGTAACAGATCTTGTCTTTTTAATTCAGGTTCTCCAAGGGGATAAATCCTAGCACACGCTGCCTTTTACAGGCAGAAAACAAGTCAAGAAAAGAACTGAATGCGTGTGATTTGTTACTTTTGTCTTTCTGTGTATGAGGAATGAGAAAGAGATTGTATTCGTATATGGGAATTATAAAGACAATTTGTTCTGGATCGTGCGGATACCGGCAATGAAACGTGAGAGGACATCCAAAAGAGAAACTATGGGATTTTTATTTTCTGGGCGATTGGCGAGCGCTGTTTTCGCCTGCAAACATGTTCCGCTGGGAAGGACTGAGGAGGGTGGACGCGTCACGGATATCCTGGTATCATGTGGACTACTCTGCTTTCACACAGGAAACTGTAGCATGAATAACTTGGACACCAGTTAAAGACGTTTGACATGTGCCGGCTCTAAATGTGCACAGAGGTGGTCGGAAACAGATCCAAGCAAAGTCAGAGCGTCTGAAAGTTTTCTGTGACCTTTTACTGGAGGTTCCTTCTGTGGGTTCAAAGCACCATCTAGTGGCTGTTCAATCCATGGACCCTCCCACCAAAGCTTTCACTGCGGTCCTGAAAGAGGGAAAAAGAAAAGTACCAAATTATCATTCAGTATTTGTAATTCATGCTTTGTTATATAAGTGGATAATGTGCCAAACTGGTTCATCCAGGATTCCTCTGTTTCCCAGTGACTGATGACGTGATGATGGTGTTTGGGTATGGAAACTTTTTCACTGCCTTTATTTTTGTACTGAGTTGAACCAGCATATTTAAAACTGTATAAAGTTATGTTTTATTTCTTAAGTTATGTTTAGTTAGTAAAGAAATATCAATGACTGAAGTTCTTATCAATCTGTAATGTTGCTCTATAAAAATATTGTCAGAAAAACTGAGTTTGCAAATAATTTTTATGGAAGATTCTGTGGCTTAAAGACAAAAAAGTGATCATTTCCTCCCCCAAAATAAGGAGCGGATAAATGAATCACCCTTTTTTCTGAACAAAACTTGCACATGATGATGCACACGTCATCATAGTGAGATGCAAATATCAAATCCCAAACCTACAACAACCATAGACACATGGAAACATATATTCATCCATCACAGAGGGGCTGGAGCCAGCTGCACCACTGGGCCACCAGATTCACATATGGAAACTTAAAGCAACACTATAGCTGTATTGTATTGTCTTCCAATCGCGTCATAAGCGTGTTTGTCATTGCAGCCGTCGCCTAGCAACAAAGCTACAAGCGAAGACCTTCTTCGGTTCATTAAAAGTGATGAAAAGGTGTTTTTTTTTTCCATTAGCTGTTCGGTTGAGTAATTACATTTCAAAATAAATTCTGCTTACGTTTTTCATTACCACTTTGAATAATGGGATATGTTGGGCCGCTCGCTGCAGCCTCCGTTGCTCAAGGGTGGAAGGACACATTTGGAGGGGCCTTCAAATTGGAACAGTCTAGTCGCGCCCCTGTGATGTAATCGGTTGAATGCAGCGGACGAAGGACGCGGCCCCTGAATTGAGACACAGCTTATATAACTTTTACTAAGCGACAGCGCCCTCTGCAGCCACACGTGGTGATTCTTTCTGTTAGTGTCTAAACTCTGTTTAGAATTCTGCAGATTTTAGATTTTTTGGGTGTTTTTTTCAGTGAGTATCAGAGATGAACAGTTTTTTATTGATCTCTACTTCTTTTTAACTGATCTGTCGTTCAGCGTTAGTTGAAGTCAAAGTCTGGAAGTTGCATTGTCCCACAGTTTATTAGGGAAACTGAAGACACTGTTTCCTGTTGTCACAGTGAGTTAATGTCCTACCGGTGACACTGCAGAGTCTTGTTACTGATCCTGTGACCACTCAGAGTCACAGGTGCTTAATATTTAACCAGTGTGGCATTTTTCTTGGCCACGGCTCCGCACTAAAGGCTTTAGTTACCTCTGTGCTCAGGACAGAAGATCAGAAGAATGAGTTTCTCTCAGTGGAAAGTAAAAGAGCTTTTCTGATACAGTTGACATTTTTCCGATGATGTCTGTCACCTGACAAAGTGACCGACTGAGAATAAGTCAGAAGTTACTCCCTACCAGAAATTGTCACAGTCGCAGAAATAGCACTGACTGAACTCTTCAGGACTTACCTAATGTACAACACTGTAAAAAATACTTCTTTATAAGTAAATGTTATTTGTACCTGCAGCAAATTGCAGACACTAAGAGATATCAGTCTCCTAAAATGTAAAAGTACAATATACAATATTAGCATATTATTAATGAGTATTACCTACAAAACAAAACCATCTGAAAAGTTTAGCAGGGGGATCTCGCTTTCCTTTTCTCACATGAGTAACATAAGGCAGCACTAAAATGGAAATACAAAAAAGTACCTGGAAATTTTGCTCAAGCTCAGTACTTGAGTGTATTTCATTACCGTACTTTCCACGGCTGAGTGCTGTGAATTGTGAGCCTTTAACTCTAATGGTTTCTTTTCTAACCAATAGAAAAAAGAAAAAGATCCCTGGAGATTATTCAACATTTAAAAGCCTTTTTCATTTCGTTTGCCCAGAATTGAATTAAATGTAGCAGCTGCTCTGGCAGGTAATGAATCACTTGAACTGATTTAAAATATGATTTTTTAATTTATTTTTTAAAGGACTGCCACTCGATGGTTTTCATTACAACGTCATTCAGTCTGTCAAATATTCACACGCAACAGGAGATCAATGTGAGTGCTTTTATTTTTTAATAGCACGTACTGTTGCATAATGAGTTTCACCGCACATAAATACGCTTATTTGAAGCATATTGCACCTGTAGTGACTTGGAATAAGATGAAAAACTGTAGTACCTCCTGCTGACATATGTAATCCTGCACTCCAGCACTTTACGAGTATGTTTTGTTCATTCGGTGCATTGTTCAGTGTTTGTTCTATCGTCTTTGACATTTTAGTTCCAAACAATCAATGGTTGTCTTCAACTTTTGGCCACAGACGTAGAAATATTTTTTCTTAAGGGGACCTTAGGGGGAAAAGGAAATGGAGAGCAGGTTGGGGCGTACCCAGCTCCCTGGTCAATATAGGATTTCTTCACCTCATGGTCATGTATAATTCAGCCTGGGAGGGAGCTGATCACCTGGAGGGAGGCACACAAGAGAAGAGGATGTGTCTGAAGTGACAGAGGAAGAGGAGAGGACGAAGAGGTTTGCAGAGTATGGAGGAGCTGGTGAAGAGACGGCCAATAATCTCTGCCAGAGAAAGAGGTCAGTTTAAGAAATGTGTATCCCTGTGTGTGTGTGTCTAACATCCACATGGACTGTATTAGAGCTGAACTGGCTTTGGTATAACATTTCTCACACAGCCTTTCTACAGCCGTTGCTCCATGGTCGTTTGAGACTCCTACTTTGTTTAGAATCTGTTCCCAAACAAGCCGAGGAAGGACGTTAAAATGCATAACCATAGAAAATCAGTCAAAGAGCTACATATGGAAATCATCAGCGACAACACAGGCCGAGCCAGAGAGTCGGTGGGTGTGCTGTATACCTCTGCTGCTTGGAACTAAGCCTGTTGCATCATTTTCATCACTGTCCTCCTCCTCCTCCTCCTCCTCCTCCTCTTCTCTCTCTCTCTCTCTCTCTCTCTCACTGTCAGGACCGGGCCCTGGACGCTACGCTCTGCCCCCTACAGTTGGATACATCAACCATGACTTCACTAAACCCAGCAGCCCTGCGTACTCCTTCCACATCCGCAACAGCAGTGAGTTTTCATACGGAAATCTCTTGGGACACTACTTGTTTACTACCACTAGATATACTGTTTTTTATATCTGGATGATTGCTAGTATTTTTTTTCTCTAGTGGTCTCTGTGGACTCCAGCCCGGGACCAAGGTACCACGTTGACGCAAAGGTCACCCGGTTTGGCCGAATGGAGACGCCGTCCTACTCTATTTTGGGCCGAGGGAGACGCGCAGGAAGTAAAGGTGATATATTTATTTATGATGTTTTGGGCTGTTTGCATCAAGCATATAGGAGAGTATTTCATCTTCTGTATGTGTGTTCACAGGTGAGCTGTTCCAGACTCCAGGACCTGGGGCCTACAGCCCAGAGAAGGCTCCACCTCTCAATGGTCACAGCAGACCTCCATCCTACACCATCGGCAGCCGCACCAGATACCGCTCTGTGGACGCTGTACCAGCCCCCAACAGGTTTATTACCACTATCATTTATCAACTCTTTACTGGTCTATTACAGATCATTAGACAGATTAGACATTTCTTGCAGTAGTGCAGCTGTGGGGATTAGACTTTCAGCTGTAAATGTATTTGTAATTTCAAAATCTGAAGTCTCTGAAGTTGAGACTAACTAAATAAACTAAATTAATTCATTGATTTAACTAAACTTTCTTTCCACCACCAGCTACAGTCTTCCAAATCTGCTTGGTTGCCACGTTCCTAACAAATCCTCCAGTAACAGCTTCAGCTTCTCCGGCCGCAGGAAGGTCGGCGCTCCCTCTGAGGATCTCTCCATGAGCCCGGGCCCAGGAAAATACAACAGCACCAACCCAGACATTTACCGCCAGCGCCAGCCCTCCTTCACCATGCAGAGCCGAACCAAGCGGCCCAGTTATTCTGCAACCATTCCCGGCCCGGGCACGTACAGCCCTGAGAAGTTTCACGTGCACCTTCCCAAACCCCCGTCCTTCTCTCTGGGCGTCAGACACTCAGAGTTTGTCACCCCGCTCGTGGTGGATGTAGTCGACTGACTCCTCAGTGGATTTTATTCAAAAGCCTTAATTTATTTATCATTTTTCACAAAAATGTTGCTGTTTCCTTGACAACAATCAAACCAACAGTATTACAACAAACACGACGGCAATAAAAAAAATCTATTGCTTTATAAATAAATCAAATATCAGTGACCTTTGCTTGAATTGTACGTGCAGTCAAACGATGATCACTGGTAACTTAGGAGGTCAGAAATAAATAAAGCAGGGTGTGAGAGACAGGGAGCGTCTAAGGCTTTGTCCTCTGTAAAGTGATATTTACAGGTGAACTCCAGTTGCTGCACTTGCCCAGATCCAGCAGCTCCTTGGCGCACACCTGGAACCCGTACACCCTCCCCGGTGTCAGCCCCTTCAGTTCCACCTCGGTGCGTTCAAACGGACCCAACTGGAGGAAGAAATGTACAATATATTATTTTTATTTTTTATTTTAACACCTTCAGTTTGAAAGTAAACACAATGGCTGATGTTTGCATACGTGGATTTAACACAAATTGTCTCCATAAAAATATTTTATGTTATATATCATCTGGTAATATGCGTGGTCTGGTTTATTATGGATTCTAACTTTATTGAATATTATGTTAATTTGTTTCTATTATATATGACAGTTATCATTAATTTACACTCTACTAATAAGTTAATAACTTTTTAGTGAACAGACTTTAGTTAAAACGTTGGGTAGAAAGGATAAACATTAGCCAAACGATACATTCTTATTATTGATTTATAGCTGATCAATCAAGCATTAGTAAACGATTTAAAGACAAAGTCTTTACTTAAGACATATAAATCCTTTTTTATGGGTAACTGATCAGAAAATGGTCTGATAATTTAAACCCTTCTCAATACTTAGATAATACCAATAGAAGAAGCCATTATTTATTTTAAGAGATAATGACACACAACTTATCAGTTTCATGATTTAAATAAAATATTAAATTGTTTCAATCATCAAGGATTTGATTACAGAAGACGGGATTTTCACACGTCACATTTCATCACTTTTATCCTGTAGATTTTGATGGAGGTCATTGTTACCTTGACAGACGAGACGGTGCCCCTGTTCTCCTGCTGGTACATTATTTGGTATTTTAGGGGGAAGATGTGCAGGTTGGTCCAGTTGGACGGAGGAGACCACTTCACCAGCAGGTTACTGGTGCTGTCAGAGGAAACCTGGACGTCTACGGGAGGATCTGGTTTCACTGCACAAACAGAGACAAAGACAATTAATATTTTTTTGTCTCATACTATCATCGTCAAGCCACGATAGAAAAACTGCAGCTCCATCAATGGTAGTAACTCGCACCTTACACACATTTATCACTTTTTACATTTGATTATTCATCGTGCCAGTTCTCACCAATGTCCTCCAACATAAAACTTGAGAGGTAGGAGCTGCTTCCACCAGAATTAACAGCCGTGACGTTGATGATGTAGTCGGTGAGAAGCTTCAGGTTGGGCAGCTCACAGTGCCACAGCTACAGCACAAACCAGATTTGATGGGATGCCAGTTAGTACATCTTAATGATAAGTGTAATTTATAGTATATTTCAATTTGACAGAATCTGTAAATAAATATTTGGCTAATTTTTATATACTGACTGATTTTATTCATTTGAAGTATCCCTTTGTAAAAAGAAATATCTGTTTATTACTTTATATCTTTTATGTTGCTTGCTGATAAAACAACGGCTGATTAAAACTCTTTTATTGTTTCGTGCACCCGTATATACCTTTATGTATTTTATGCACTGACTTTATTTTAATTATTCATTTTATCTTATTCAACCTTTTCTAAAGCACTTATAAAATACATTGATAAATGAAAGCTACGATAAATAAAGTTTATTATATTATTGTACTGAACACACAACTCCACAAAACCATTTGTCTTGTCTCACTATTTGGTTCAACATTACAGTTTAAAACCTTCACAAATTCAAACCCATAAATAATGAATGTGTGCTTGGTTTGATTTAGGTTCAAATCTGATTCTGATTGGGAAAAGCTCTCGAATGCAAAGATGAATAACCTTGTACCTGTTCAGAGGATGAGGATGATGATGAATCATGAGAGGGTGGGATGAGATGACAATTGTTGGTGATTGGCGGCTCGTGTCTCTCACTGTCAAACACACACATTTACACTCAATGACACTCAACAACTACAGTCTGTGTTACTAAAAGGGGTCAGTGGTGTGGGTCAGCACACGGCAGCAGGAAGAGGAGGAGATTTACCTGTAGGTGGCAATGTAGTGTGTCTGTGGGAGGTGGGACGGTTCAGGCCAGGAGCAAAGAGTCACATTTGGAAAGCTCGAGCACCAGCAATGCACTCTGGGAACGGGGGGAGGAACTGCTGGAACAAATCACAGTTAAATAATCAATAAAATAATAA